GTTACACATTATTTTCATGAGAAAATATTAGGCAAGAGGCTTTCCAAGGTATGTCTCCACAAATTGGTAAATTTGGATGAAGAAAATGCCACCTAAGCTGGCAACTTTTTCAGTGCTTCATTTCAAAGTCTCACTATCTTGAATACTTCTTGAATAAACTGCAAGAATACTATACAAAACACTAAGTTTCTATGGGAAGTATGACTGAGTCAGAGTCTAATTATAAAGTCCAATTTTTTTTTTTCCACCTTTGTGAAGGAAGCATAATGCTGACAAATCCGTTTTGCAAGAAGTTGTTTTCTCAGTTTACAGAGAACTGAATCATTTCTGACTTTTCAGTCTGTGCTTGGGTTTGGAAGGGCATGTTTATTTCCCTGCATAAGAAAAGGGTCTCATTCCACATCCCATTTTCATTCATGTCCTTTCTTTTCCTATGGACGGAAATAGGTCAGTGTATGCTTTGATGGTATTTGCTATTTGGAGTATGAACTTGAAATGCCTGTCATTTGATTCATTCAAAACAGGGCTGGATGTTGTTGTCATTAAGTGGCATGAAGTCTGTTCACACTCTTAGTGACCTTCTGTGGAGCAACTAGTGAGCTTGAACCACTGACCTTGTGGCTGAAACTGACTTTACAATCCAGCTCATTAACCTGTAGCACCACACCAGGACTCCTGATAGGTTGTTAATCCTTAGCATAAAGAGCAAGTTTGCTCTGCTGTCTTCCGTTAACCAGCATACCATTTCCAGAGCCATAAAAAATTCACAAGTGGGGTTTCACAGATTGCATATCATCAATCACTTTATTACAACAAAGGACTTAAATATACAATGTTTGTACAAAAATTTAGATTGTTAAATCATCTGAACGAGGGTCATAAAGCAAAGTTAACAGAAATAGCATTATATTATAACACCTTCCACTGGTAAAGATTTCAGTTTAACTAGATTTTTACTTAGTTGTTGTTTATATGTTGCTTAGTTGCCAGATACACTTCTTGCTTTTAATCTTTAGAGAAGGTTAATGTTACATTATATTCATTTATGTAATCACTGAACCAAACTGATTCATTGGAGATGCTAGACAATTATAGTGATGCTTCTGCCTACAAAAAGATTGAAGTTGTCAAAGACTTCATTTTTCTTGGAACACCCATCAACACTCATGGAAGCAGCAGCCAGGAAATCAAACTACGTATTGCATTAGACAACTCTGCTGCACAATACCTTTTTTAAGTGTTGAAGAGCAAAAAAAGAGTTGATGTAGGTTTGCCTGACCCAAGCCATGGTATTTTCATTAACCTTTCTACTCCCGTAAAGATTTACACCCTCGGAAACCCTGTACAGGGTCGCTATGGGTCGGACCCGACTCGACGGCACACAACAACAACAACAACATGCATGTGAAAGTTGGACAGTGAATAAGGAAGGTTGTAGAAGAATTGATGCATTTGAGTTATGGTGTTGGAGAAGAATACTGAAAGTACCATGGGCTGCCAGTAGAACCAGCAGATCTGTGTTGGAAGAAGTGCAACCAGAGTGCTCCTTAGAGGCCAGGATAGCCAAACTTTATCTCTCATACTTTGGACATATTGTCTAGACAGACCAGTCACTGGAGATGGATATCATGTTTGATAAGGTGGAGGGTCAGAGGAAAAGAGGAAGATTCCCAGCGAGATGGATTGGCAAAGTGGCAGCATCAATGGACTCAAGCATGGTAACAATAGTGAGGTTCGCCCAGGACCAGGCAGTGTGTCATTCGGTTGTGTATAGGGTCGTTGTGAGTCAGTACCAACTAGATGGCACCTAACAATAGTAACAACTACCTACAATTAATACCTGAGATAGGATCTTTGCTGTTTCTGTTGGTTAAGGGATTCATAAGAATGTCCCTGAAAACCTGCGTTTAAAGATTATTATTGTTGTTATTACTGTCAAGTCATTTCCAACTCATGGCAAACCTACATGTGCAGAGTAGAACTGAACCTGGAGTTTTCAAAGCTGTGGCCAGTCTTCCATGGGCATCGGGGTGGGTTCAAACCACTACCCTTGCAGCTAGTAGTCAGACACCGCTCAAGGACACCACTTAAAGGGTTAAAAGCTAAAATGCCATCAAGTCATTTCTGACTCAAAGTGACCCTACATAGCAGAGATGGGAACATCCAACCTGGAAGCCGTATTAGGCCTGTGAAATCATTTGGTCTGGCCCTGACAAAGCAGCCATAGTTCCAGCCATCACATTAGGGTAGAGTTAATTAAATGTTTGCCCAAACATAGCAGGCTAATTTTTAAGTTGATACGTTTTTATGGCCCGTGAATGATGTTATAAATTTTGGCAGAAAAAAGATAACCCCTGCTATGTATGGTTCCCTCAACTGTAAATCTTTGTAGAACCAGACAGCGTCATCTTTCACCCGAGGAACATTGGTGGATATGAACTAATGACTTTGCAATTAGCAACCCAAGTTAGCTTTATCCTAAAGCACCTCTGTGGCTGCTTATGTATAAGATTGGTGCTGTTGGATAAGCACTGGACTGCTAACCACACGATTGGCAGTTCAGATCCACCAGCCACTCCTTAGAAACCCTACTCTGGGTCATTATGAGTTGGAACCAACTCAGTGACATTTAATTTAACAACAACTACAAAAAAAGTTAACTTTATGATATCAGAGAAATCATTTCTCTCACCTTCAGTTGTTGAATTATGTGTAGTTTTGTTAGGTGCTGCTAAGTCAGTTCCTACTCATAGTGATCCTCTGTACAACTGAATGAAACACTGCCTAGTCTTGCATCATCCTCACAATAATTGTGATGCTAGAGCCCATTTTTGCCACCACTGTGTTCATCCATCTTGTTGAGGGTCTTCCTCTTTTTTGTTGACTCTCCACTTGGCCAAAGGAGCTCTGGTAGCATAGTGGTTATGAATCGGGCTGAGAACCTTAAGGTCAGCAGTACAAAATTACAAGCTATTCCATGGGAGAAAGATGAGGCTTTCTGCTCCCATAAAGATTTACAGCCTTGGAAACCCTGTACAGGGTCGCTATGAGTCGGAACCGACTCCACGGTGCATTACCACTCCCACCATTCCACTTTGCCAAGCATGGTGTCCTTCTCCAGGGAATGGTCCCTCTTGACAACCTGTCCAAAGTATAAAGTTCATATCTTGCCATCCTGACTCCTTAGGAAATTTAGGCTATAATTCTCCAAGATATAATAGTTCGTTTTCAGCATTCTACACTAGCACCATAATTCAACTGCATCGATTCTTTTATAGTATTTCTTTTATTGTCCAACTTCCACATGCATATGAGGCAGTTGGAAATACCATGACTTGGTTCAGGTACACCTTAGTCCTCAAAGTGACATCTCTGTTCTTGAGCACTTTAAGGAGGTCTTTGGTAGCAGATTGCCCAATGCAGTAGTACATTGTTTGTGGTGTTTATAGCTCAGTTCATCTTTGCAAAGACTCTTAAAATAGCATCTCAAGCTAGGTAATAACATTTATCCAAATTTGGGGTTTGTTTATTGTAATATTCCCCACCTTCAGAATTTGTGATAGCTTCTAATTTGCATAAAATTTGAATTGGTTGACCTAACTAAATTCTCATAGAATGTGGAAGCAAAATAGAATTTATATTTACTACTCATAGCTTAAGAACCTTGGTGGTACAGTGGTTAACTATAACCAAAATGTCAGCAGTTATAACCCACCAGCCACAACATGGGAGAAAGATGTTGCTGTCTGTTTCTGTAAAGATTAACCACCTTGGACAGTTTGGGGGGCAGTTCTGCTGTGTTCTGTCAGGTAGCTATGAGTCAGAGTCAACTCGAGAACAATGGAAACGCAAATCTTATCATTGTAGACTTTTATTTAGTTATGTGATAAAATCACTTGGTAAAAATAGTACCAATAGTGTCTTCTGCTTAGGGACATTTGCCTCTTAGGTGCTTAATTTGAGACTTTGGGTAGAATTTACTTAATCTCTCTGAGGATCTATGAATTTAACTTAGTATGATGAGGAAATGATATAAAAAGTAATTTAAGTAACTCCACAATCCTACTGTAAGGATTCATATCTTAATGTTGCTTTTTAAACATCTAATTTAAAACTGGTTCCTTCTTCAACACCCTGCCCTTTTGTGTGTGTCCAGGACCAATTTCTTGGGAATGTAGCCCCTGCAGCCTCCAAGGACCTCATGCTTGTTTAATGTTCTGCTCTTACTGTCTTGAAATCCTCAATTTTGACTAAGAGACCATCTATTTCCCTTTGTACTGGGCTCTGCAAGCTGTGTAGCAGGCCCTCTGAAACAACTTGTCAGAACAGATTCACCTTTAGTAGTTATTATCCTGTGTAAACCAGGACTTCAGACCAAATTGTCCAAACCAGATTTTCCTGGTTTAGTCATTGCCAATGAAACAAAACCAGATTGGACCCAAATTTGTAAAATGTGAGTGTCTCAGAACAATAACTGATTGGGGGAAAATTATGCATTAACACCTTGCTAGAAACTTAATCTCCCTCTTAGAAAACAAGGGCAGAATGCTTATTACACAGCAACTAAATTTCTTGCCTGGCACAGTCAGAAACAGCAGTGTCCAACTCCGAGATAGATGGTGGCAGACCCAGCAACTTTGAGTGTGTTCCTGGTAATGAGCCAGTCTCCTGCATCCATCTCCTGAAAGGGCTCTAAGCCTTTTCTGAGTCTCCAATTCCATGGCTTCAACCTGTCCTTTCTCACATTCTGATTATCATTTTGGTATACCTACAATTTACAAATTTGGGTGGTTTCTAATTTCACTCGTTGCCCATGACTAAACCAGTATGAACCAGGTAGAAACCTGGCGCAAACTGAGTATATAGCCCTATAAATTTCCTCAACTTTGGAAGCATCAATATTTCTCTTTGTATGCAGATTTTATTTGAAAGTAGTTTTGAGAAAAATAATACAGCTGAAATAAATTGAAAGCAGGGTTTAACTTATTTTGTCATTACAGGTTATCAAGTTATGCCCAACCAGCAGCAAAACTACCAAGGAATAGTTGGAGTTCAGCAACCCCAGAATCAGAGCCTAGTCAGTAGCCAAGCCAACAACATTGGAAATCAGATTCAAGGAGTGGTCATCCCCTACCCTTCAGTGCCATCCTATCAGGTAGGTTGTTCTTACGTACTAAGTGTAGCTCTATGACACATCTTCTCTGCTTTTCATATAGGGAAATTTCTTTTAGAATATGTAACCTTTCAGTCATAAGAGTTCTGTTCGTCACTGTAGCTGCTTGTTTTCCTTATGTTATTGCTTTATTCATTTACTTTACTAAGCTTTAGATAAAAATACCAGAACCACATTGACATCAGCAAGTCAATGTTTGACATTGTCTGTTTCCACCTAAATAATCATAAAAGCAAGCATCTCTCCTTTGGAGGAGGAATAGGTTGAGATGGAAAATAAATCTGTGTGGAAGGCATTTGAAACATTGAGATATAGTATAGATCATAAATCATTATTTACACAATAGGAAAGATTGTTCCATGCTAGAACTGATTTTTTTTTTCAATCCTACCTCAACCCCAAAAAGGAATGAAATGACATGTATTAAAAATGTCATGAATTTAAATTTATACTTCTAAATTAGAACTATCTATTGCTTCATAAATAGTGTACTGTGACAGTGAATCAGCCACATTTCCAGAAATTTGTTTTAACTTCCTTTTCTTAATGCAGTAACTTGCAACATGGGTTTGTCTTGTTAGTCTCATTGTTTTCCAAAACTGAATCTATTAAGAAGTTTAAAGACTTCATTCATCTCAACAAAGTAAAAAAAACCTAGTTGGAAAGATTAAATATAAACATATTTTATCTGAACACATGTAAATACATTGGTAATAGTATGCAGGCCAATAACTGAGGGAATCATGAAGTAACAGATTAAGGACTTAAGACAGATATCTTCTGGGAAGATACAGATCACTATCTAGCTCTTAAAACAGGTGGAGAACGTCTAGCACACAGGCTATATGAGCCCAGGAAATCATGTGTAGCCCTGCCAAGGCAACTGCAAGTGGGACTCCAAATTCAATAACTCTGGGAGCTTTTTTCATAGCCACAGAAGTTTATATTAAGCAATGTTATAAATATCCAGGTGGCCCTTGGCAAAATGAAGGTTCCCGACCCTGTCTTAGGGGAGTCCTGGTGTGGCGCTGTGGGTTAATGAGTCAGACTTGCAGAGCCATTTGAACTGCAAGGTAGGAGGTTCAAGCTCACCAGCTGCTCCTTGGAAACCCTTACAGGGTCGCTATGGGTCGGAAATGACTCGACGGCACTATATAACAACATCAACCCCATCTTAAAAGAAAATTATGGGCATAAAATGATTGACATTCTGGGGAAGGCATAAAGATATGAGCAAAGGTACAAGCATATTCCATATAATTCCAGCATTTTAATTTGAAATGGATTGTCAGGCATTATTGAGCATTTAAGAGTATGCTTCGTTGTGAAACCCTATGAGAATGGTAAACAGCTGGGAGAAAAGAAAAATACTTCGTCAAAGGAGGTTTTGCATGTTTTTCTGTCCTACCCCATGCTTTTCTCTTCTTATCCTCTCCACTTAAGTCTTGGCACAGCAGACTTTGCCCTTCCTTTACTTCCCTCGTAGCCAGAAAGTAGACAAGATCAGTAGCACACCAGAAACGTTCCCTTCTGACATAGCCCTGATGGTGCCACCTCTTTTCAGCACACTCGGCACAATACTGGGTGCTAAACATCAGGTAAATAAGATCTGCCCTTGCTCTTGAGGGACTCAAAGACCAGTGAGAATAATGTAATTTTTAAATAAATGAGAGCATTATTAGTGCACTTTTAGGAAAAGAACTAAGATATTTAATATATTTCCAGGATAAGATAGGTGTTAAAATTTCTATAGCTTTGTTTTATTATTATTTACAAATTCCAAAGTATTTTCTCACAGTATTTTATGTAATCTTCCCATTGATGAATGACTGTGGGAAATGTTGCTCTGACCAAGAATGAATGACAGCCTGCTGTATACACCCTACACATTTGATGGACAGGCTAAGTGCTGATAAACATATAAGAAGTAAGCCAGGAAAATCATCTCTACGTATTAGGATGTATTTTGAAATAATGTTCCCTCTCTCTTACCCAGTAAGTCAGATCAATATTTTTTACTTGAGATAATTCAGTCAATGATAAAGTAATTAAAGAGATTGCTATGTATTTTTAAAAACTAGCTGCATTTCCGAAACATGTTATATTGGCCAGACTTAACAAGTTAATCATTAACATGCAAATCATAGAGCCACATGTCAAGAATGGTGAAGGAGTTAAAGAACTTAGGCTTAGGGTATGAATTTAGTTTCTGACTTTGCTGCTAACTAGGAAGAGTTCTGGTAGCGTACTGGTTACCAGTTGGGCTGCTAACCCCAGGGTGTCAGCAGTTCAAAACTACCAGATGTTACACAGGGGAAAGATGAGGCGTTCTGTTCCTGTAAAGAGTTAGGGTCTCAGAAACCCTGTGCAGGGTCGCTGTGAATAGAAACTGACTGCACAGCACCACCAACACCAGGAAGGGCTATATCATTAGGCAAGTTACTTAACCTCAGTTTCCCCACTTGTAAAATAGGGACAAGAAAAGTTTCTTAGGGTTATTATGAAACTTAATGAAAAAATACACATCAAGCACTTATTGTTAAGTGCAGACAAATCAATTCGGACCCATAGCGACCCTGTATAGGGTTTCCGAATGGCAGCTGGTGAGCTTGAACCGCTGACCTTGTTCAAATGGCTTTGCAATCTGGCGCATTTACTCACAGCGCCACACTGGGACTCCTTTAAACCCTTATTTATAGTAGTTGTTCTTTCTAGTTGCCATCAAGTCAGTTAGTTCTGAGTCATACCAACTCTGTGTAGGGTTTTTAATGAGTGGTGGGTGAGCTTGAGCCACCAACCTTGTGGTTCAAACCAACCTTGAAGTCCGCTGCGTTAACCCACAGTGCCACACCAGGACTCTGATTTATAATTGTAGTTAGCACTCAGTAGTGTTGTTATTGTTAAGTGCCATTGAGTCGGTCCCAACTTATAGCAGCCATGAGTATGGTTTCTGAAGAGCAGCTGATGATTTTGAACCACTGACCTTGGGGTTCAAACCGACCTTGCAGTTCAGTGCATTATCCTACTCAATAATAATGATCCTCACTATCATCACCATTAGTACTACTGCTACCATCTGCTATTATTACTAGCAACCTCATTGTCATCATTCCATCCTTCCAGAAGCTTCTACATTATCCTTATTTGCCAACATCATTGTACTCCAACTCTGGTACAGTGTCATATTTGTCAACTTAAGAACCCATTATGTCCTTGTGGTTTCTTGGCGAAAACTCAGAATCTCTGGGCTTGATCTTTGGAAATGTTCTTTCCCAGGATAGATACAATACCTCTGCAGCAGTGGAGGCAGTTTTCCGATGAGCGACTCCTTTGCTTACTGTCTCATAGGTATGTGATAGAACTGATTCCACATCTAGAGTTTGTAAATGCCAAAGCTCACACTTTTTTTAGATCTGTTGTTGTATGTAGCACAGTGTCTTCTTCACCTGAGTGTGGCGCTGTAGGATCAGCACTGGACTGCTGGTGGCTAGGTCGGCAGTTCAAACCCACCAGCTTCTCCTCAGAAACCCTATACAGGGTCGTTATGAGTTGGAGCCACTACGAGGGAGGGCACTTAACAACAGCAACCTGAGGTACAGTGCATTGCTCTTCCCATATCAGATGGTCATTCTTACTTGGTAACAGTTCCTTTTTTAAATTAGCCTTTAGTTAGGAACATAAGTCATACTGTTTTTATAATATAGTGCATCTAACCTACTGTACAATTGGTAAGTACTAGCCCAAAATAGCTGGCTCAGTGGTAGTACGATGGCTAGCTTATCAGAAAAGCCTATTGGTGCTTTCAGCTTACTCCTAACTGCTAAAACTTTTAAAGTTGAGGCTGGATACACTAACATATGCAAGGTTTTAAAGAAACTTTTTCCCTGTAAATTGTCTTTCAAAATTTTAGGTTTCACTGCCTCAAGGTTCTCAAGGAATTGCTCATCAGACTTACCAACAGCCTGTGATGTTCCCTAATCAGTCTAATCAAGGATCTGTGCCCACCACAGGAATGCCAGTTTACTATAGTGTCATTCCACCTGGTCAACAAAATAACTTAAGGTAAGTATCCTCTAGCACTTCCTTGTTTACTAGGATTATGGCCTTTTGCAAATTTTAAATTGTACTCTGAGACATTATGGTTCTGCATCATCCTCACAATTGTTGGCTCAAATATAACAACAAGGATGGCAAAGGACCGGGCAGTGTTTCATTCTGTTGTACATAGATAGGGCTGCTATGGGTCACAGTCCACTTTGACAGCCCTGACCCTAACCCCTCTCCCCCAATGACTGAACTTTCAGCCAAGTGATTGCCAGCAAGCGCTCTGCCATTGAGTTGAATCAGACCCGATAGAGCCAAGTAGAATTGTTCCCCGGGGTTCTAAGACTGTACATCTTTATGGGAACAGAAAACTTTATCTTTCTACCTTGGAGCAGCTCGTGGATTTGAACCACCAACCTTGTGATTAGCAGTCCAGTGCTTGATTGACGAAGGAGCCAGTGCCACCAAGGAAGTGGGAGGAGTGCTTTTACATTGTGGGGATTGTAGTCAGTTTCACAGAACAAAATTATCTGAATTATTCATTGGAAAACCAGTTTGCTCTGTAAACTTTCAGCCAAATCACAATAAAATGATACT